ACGAAGTGCACACGCGCGCGTCGTCGCGCGCGCATGCCGAAGTCCTTCAAAAACCTTCGGTCTCGGAAGGATTTCGCAATCGAGTTCCCCCAAAAAAAACCACGAAAACCAAAAAAACAACCCCAAAAAAACAAGTTTCACAACACTGTTTTGCTACAAAACAGCTTACGCGCGAGCTCTTGCGAAATCTTCAGAGAAACCATTGGTTTTCAAGATTTTTACAAAATGCTATCACGCGGGCTTCGCGCGCGCATGTCGAAATCTGTCGAACGCCCTTGCGCGTGTGCCGTCGCGAGAATCCTCTGCAAAAAAGGGGCGAAGCGCAGACGCAAGCGTCGTCGCGCGCGTATGCCAAAATCCTTCAAAACCCATCGGTTTCGGAAGGATCTCAAAACCGTGTGTACAAAAAAACACACACAAAAAACACAAGGTTTCGCAACACGGATTTTCAACAAAAGAGTGCGCGCGCGCTCTTGCGTCGTCGTCGTCGTCGTCGTCGCCGTCCTCCGTCCTCCCGCGTCGTCGTCGTCGAAGCCTACATCGTCCTCTGTCTTTCCTGGTGATCGTCGTCGTCCTCTTTGGCGTCGTGGTCGTTTCCGTCGTCGTTGTCACCGTGGTCGTCCTTCCTCCTCCTCCCTCGACGTCGTCGTCGTCCGCCGTCGGCGTCTTGTCGCAGTCCCTCCTATTTCGTCGCCGTCGTCGTCGTTGTCGTCGTCGTCGTCTTCCCTCCTCCCTCGTCCTTGTCGTCGTCGGCGTCGCCGTCCTTCCTCCTTCTTCGTCGTTCGCGTCGTCGCCGTCCTCCCTCCTCCCTCGTCGTTGTCGTCATTGTCGTCGTTGTCGCCGTCGTCGTCCTCCCTCCTCCCGCGTCGTCATCGTCGTTGTCGTCGTTGTCGTCGTTGTCGTCGTCGTTGTCTTCGTCGTCGTCGTCGGCGTCGGCGTCGTCGTCGTCGGCGGCGTTGTCATCGTCGTCGTCGTCGGCGTCGTCGTCGTCGGTGTCGTCGTCGTTGTCGTCGTCGAAGTCGTTGGAGACGTCGTCGGTGTCGTCGTAGTCGTTGTCGGCGGCGTCATCGATCGTCGTTGTCGCTGTCGTCGTCGGCGTCGCTGTCGTTGCCAAGTGCCATTTGGTACCCACCGTTCGTCGTCGTCGGCGTCGTCATCGTCGTCGTCGTTGTCATCGTCGTCGTCGGCGGCGTCGGCGTCGTCGTCCTCGTCGTCGCTGTCGTCGTCGTCTTCGTCGGCGTCGTCGAAGTCGTTGGAGACGTCGTCGGCGACATTAGTCGTTGTCGGCGGCGTCGTCGTCGTCGTTTGCGCTGTCGTCGTCGGCGTCGCTGTCGTTTTCTTATGCCATTTGGTAACCAACGTCACGGTCTTGAGAGATTTTGCAAACCAAGTTGCGGGTGGGTGGGTGGGATGACGAGCAGTGGAGTTGACAACTTCAACTTCGTCAAGTGAATTGCACCACATATATTGCACCAGATAGATTCCACCACAAAGGTGGCAATATATATATATATATATATATATATATATATATATATACATACATACATATATAGATATGTTGCGTATCAGTTCTTGCACAGCATACATTGCATACAATGGATTGCAAACAAACTATTGCACAACATAGATTGCACCTCATATGTTGCAATACTACATATACTACACAACATATGTTGTACAGAGAAGATTGCACCACATACACTGGACCACATCTACTGCCCAGCAACGAATCCCCAACATAGGTTGCAGCACAGAGATTGCACAATATGGTGCACAACATAGACTGCTACACAAACATTTAATAACCTAGATCCTTCTTTCTAAAAAGAGAACAGACTCTACCCCCCCCGTCGGGCGTTATCCGCCCCATTTTCGGGTATGTAAACCATGTCGGTTTATGACCACATGTCCATCCGAAATACGAATTTACACTCTCCCAGGGAAACCGGGATCGGTCCCCCTTAGGTTCCCTTTTTTTTTTAAGAAAAAAAAAAACAAAAAAAAAAAAAAAAAAAAAAAAAAAAAAAAAAAAAAAAAAAAAAAAAAAAAAAAAAAAAAAAAAACGCGGGGACATCTCTTGTTCTAACATAGCACTTGTTCGCAAATTCCTTTGAAAAAATGGGACGAAGTGCACACGCGCGCGTCGTCGCGCGCGCATGCCGAAATCCTCCAAAAACCTTCGGTGCCGGAAGGGTTTCGCAATCGGGTTTCAAAAAAAAAAAAACAGGGTTTCGCAACTCTGATTTGCTTAAAAGTTTACGCGCGAGCTCTTGCGAAATCTTAGGAAAACCATAGGTTTTTCAAGATTTTTACAAAATGCTACCAAACGGGCTTCGCGCGCGCGCATGTCGAAATCTGTCGAACGCCCTTGCGCGTGTGCCGTCGCGAGAATCCTCTGCAAAAAATTTGACGAAGTCCAGACGCGCGCGTCGTCGCGCGCGTATGCCGAAATCCTTCAAAACCCATCGGCTTCGGAAGGATTTCAAAATCGTGTGTCAAAAAACCTACAAAAACATTATCCCAGTGCGACCCTACCTAGGAGTTGGAGCCCCTAGGAAAGCAGCATCAGCAGTAACAGTAAAGCTAAGCTAAAGCTGAGCTAAAGCTAAGCTAAAGCTAAGGTGAAGCTAAGCTAAAGCTAAGCTGAAACTAAGCTGAAACTAAGTTAAAGCTGAGCTAAATCTAAGGTAAAACTATACTAAAGCTAAGCTAAAGCTAAGCTAAAGCTGAGCTAAAGCTAAGCTAAAGCTAAGGTGATGCTAAGCTAAAGCTAAACTGAAACTAAGCTGAAACTAAGTTACAGCTAAGCTAAGTCTAAGGTAAAGCTAAGCTAAAGCTAAGCTAAAGCTAAGCTACAGCTAAGCTAAATCTAAGCTACAGCTAAGGTAAAGCTGAGCTAAAGCTAAGCTACAGCTGCGGTAAAGCTAAGGCAAAGCTAAGGCAAAGCTAAGGTATGGCTAAGCTAAAGCTAAGCTAAAGCTAAGCTAAAGCTAAGGTGAAGCTAAGGTGAAGCTAAGCTAAAGCTAAGCTAAAGCTAAGCTAACGCTAAGGTAAAGCTAAGGTGAAGCTGAGCTACAGCTAAGCTCAAGCTAAACTAAATCTAAGCTAAAGCTAAGCTACAGCTATAAAGCTAAGCTAAAGCTAAGCTAAAGGTACAGCTAAAGCTAAGCTAAAGCTACAGCTAAAGCTAAAGCTCCCAGGGGACCGGGGGAACCACGGGGCGGGGAATGGGGGAACCGCCCGGGGCGCGTTCCACTGCCCGGCCCCTTTAAGCTAAGAGAGTAAGAACCCTCTAGACAGAGCCTAGGTAGGGAACAAGGTCTCGCAACACGGATTTTCAACAAAAGCGTGCGCGCGCGCTCTTGCGTCGTCGTCGTCGTCGCCGCCCTCCCTCCTCCCGCGTCGTCGTCGTTGTCGTCGCCTACGTCGTCCTCTGTCTTTCCTCGTGTTCGCCGTCGTCGTCCTCTTTGGCGTCATGGTCGTTTCCGTCGTCGTTGTCGCCGTGATCGTCCTTCCTCCTCCCTCGTCGTCGTTGTCCGTCGTCGGCGTCTCGTCGTCGTCCCTCCTACTTCGTCGCCGTCGTCGTCGTCGTCGTCGTCGTCTTCCCTCCTCCCTCGTCGTTGTCGTCGTCTTCGTCGTTCGCGTCGTCGCCGCCCTCCCTCCTCCCTAGTCGTTGTCGTTGTCGTCGTTGTCGCCGTCGTCGTCCTCCCTACTCCCTCTTCGCCGTCTTCGTTGGCGACGTCGTCGTCGTCTTCGTCGTCGTCGTGACGTCGGCGTCGTCGTCGTCTTCGTCTTCGTCGTCATCGACGTCGACGTCGTCGTCGTCGCCGCCGTCGTCGTCGTCGGCGTCGTCGTCGGCGTCGTCGACGTCATCGTCGTCGTCGTCGTCGGTGTCGTCGTTATCGTCGTCGTCGGCGTCGTCATCGTAATCGTCGTTGTCGTCGTCGTCGTCGTCGTCGGCGTCGGCGTCGTCGTCGTCATCGGTGTCGTCGTCGTCGTTATCGGCGTCGTCGAAGTCGTTGGAGACGTCGCCGGTGTCGTCGTAGTCGTTGTCGACTGCGTCGTCGTCGTTGTCGCTGTCGTCGTCGGCGTCGCTGCCGTTGCCAAGTGCCATTTGGTACCCACCGTCACGGTCTTAAGAGATTTCGCAAACCAAGTTGCGGGTGGGTGGGTGGGAAATTCGCGCGAGCAATGGAGTTGACAACTTCAAGTTCGGCAAGTGAGTTGCACCGCATAGATTGCACCAAATCTATTGCCCCAAATAGATGACGTCACAACTATGTGTCAACATAAAGTGCACCAGCTAGATAGCACAACATAGGTTGCACACATGTATTGCACCATAGACATGGCACCACATGGATTGCACCACATAAATTTCACAACGTACGTTGCTCCACATAGATTGCACCACATGGATTGTTAGATACTGCGTGGGGTCCACGCTGGCTAACATAAATACAGATTCCTCATCGCACCCCCAAATTTGCCAGTAGGGAGGGCTGGGCGTGTCGCTTGATATTCCTCGCAACGTATGATCCTGAAGCTTGATATTTGCAACAGTTCCAGGAATGAAGGGCGGGTCGTTTTCAAGATGTGGCTCTCCTCGGCCCAGCGCACAATTGTTTGAAAAACTGTAACAGCTTCACGGATGGAGGGCGGGTCGTTTTCAAAGTGTGGCTCTCGCCTTGGCACCACAGATACATGCGTCTTGAAAGCTTCCAGCAGCTACAAGTATGGATGACAGGTGGTTTTCACTATGTAGTTCTCGCCTTGGCGCCGCACACAGTCATCTTACAAGACTGCAGCAGTTTCAAGCGTAGATGGGGGCTCATGTTGCAAATGTGCCTCTCGCATTAGCGCCACGCAAGTCTTGAAAGCTTGCAACAGCCACAATGGTTCGCATGGCTGAAGCCCCAGGAACGGCGTTCTGGTACGATTCAATTGCTCGGACACAACAATTATATTGTTTCGCGGGGTTGAAGTCCCAGGAGCGGCTTCTGGCACGATTTAGGCTTCTCAGGACGTAGCAGTCGTCTTGATGCGCGGCGCTGAAGTCCCAGCACTGGTGTGTGGCACGATTGGGGCTTCGCATACGGTCATCTTCTAATTAGCCAATGCCCGCAGTAAAAACAAATTCCTGCACGGGGCCTAAAAAAAAAACTTGCAGGGAGGGTGTGTTGCAAACTCGTTGATGCATTTTGGGTTTCCATTAGTCCTCAGACCCACCCTCCTCCTGCAAATTCATTCTGCCGACGCCACGCAAGCGGGACGCGAGCAAAAGTGGGCGAGCGGCAGTTCGCCTGGGCGGCGCGACACGACGGTGCACGCACGTTCTCAGCTGTTCAACTGGATCTCTCCGGACTCGCTGTTGTTGACGGGGACATGGACGCCGTTCGCGTCGACGATCACGCCTGCGCCGACCACGTTGCCTCAGCTGCGAGCGCAGGATAATGGACTGCAGAGAAAGAGAGTGATACATAAATACATACATAAATACACACATACATACATGCATGCATACAGACAGACAAACAGACACACAGACAGACAGACGGAAAGACAGACAGACAGACCGACAGACATATAGATGTATAGATCGAAAAAACAGACATGGCTGCCTCCCCCACCCCACCCCCATCTCCCCCTTCCCTACAAATGATCATACTCAGTCCTGCGCCTCCTGACACCCTCATCCTCGTTCCTCCAAACCCCCCCCTCCTGTTCATTATTCCTCCTCTTCCTCCTCTTCCCCATCCTCTCCCGTCTCCCCCATCCTCTCCCTTCCTCCTCCTCTTCTTCCTCTTCTTCCGCTGAGGGGCGGATTCCCCCCTCACCACCACCACCCCCCGCGCCAGCTCTGCCCCCTGCCGCAGCCACCCCCCCCCACCAGCCCCCGGCCCGCAGAACGTGCCCAGCCGCGGGGCCGCGGGCGGCTCTCGGGGCGATTCCACATGCAGCCCCGGCGGCCCCAGAGGGCCCCAAGAGAAGGCCCGTGGGCGGTCCAAAGAGGGCACCAGGACGGTCCAAAGGGGCTCAGGGACGCACAAATCGATACAAACAATTCCCAGGATTCCCCATGCATTCTCATATGTTCTGGGTGTTCGTTTTCCCCCCCACACTTCCAATAGTTTCTCACATGTTCCGGGGGATGGGCGATTCATGGTGTCTGTGCTTTTGTTCCCCTCCTGACAATCCAAAAGGGCCCCGAGACGGCCCAGGATGGCCAAACGACTGCGCAAGAGGCTTCCGGCACGCCCCAAGAAGGATCCCCGAGAGGTACCCAGGAGACAAAGTTCGCCCCAATCCTGTCAGACTCGCAGTGTCGCGTCTTGGTTTTCACAGCGAACAAAACGCCTCAAGAGGCCCCCTGGATGGCCCAAGAGGCCCTCAAGAGGGCCCCAAGACGGCCCCAAAGAGCCCCAAGACGGCCCAGCCCAAGAAGGCCCCCAGAGGGCCCCAAGCGGGGGCCCAACAGAGGGGGAACTCGAACTGGCACTTGGAGCCCTCCGCCCGGGAAGGACCCCGAGACCGCCAGCGGGCCCCCAAGAAGCCCTCGGGATGCCGCAAGAGACCCCCACGAAACCCAAAGAGGCCCCAGGAGGCCCACACAATTTTTGATCTGCGGGGCGAGAGCGAACCTCTTCCGCTGAAAGCTAAGCGGGACACGCACAGCTTAGAATAGCAGAGGGGGCCCAGGAGACCCTCAGGATGCCCACGCAAGAGACCCCCACGAAACCCAGAAGAGGCCCCAGGAGGCCCACACTTTTTTTTATCCGCAGGTCGAGAGCGAGCCTCTTCCGGTCGAAGCTAAGCGGGCCGCGCACAGCTTTAATTGACAGAGGGGGGGGAGGCAGAAGGAGGGGCCTCACGTCACAATAGGCCCACACAAGCGGCCCTCGGGAGGCCCCAAGCACTGCCTCCGAGACCGACCGGACCGCGGCCGCCCGCCCGCACCCGACAGGCGCCCATCCAGGGCACCTGACCCACAGCACCGGCACGGTGGCGGAATGGGTCGAAGGCCGCTGGCGCTGCCGCCCCCTGCTGCCTGGACTTTTGGGGGCCCTCCGAGCGCCTCCCCGCGGGGTCTCGGCCGACCGAGCCGAGGCCACCTGGAAAACGTGGGAGGCAGGGGCGCGTCCGCTCCAGGTGGCTCCAGGATGGTAGCCAAAAGACGGCCAAGACGGCCTGCAGGATGGCCCAAGGTGCTCTCCAGACAGCCCAAGAAATCCCCCAAGGAGCCCAAAATCATGAATTGTCCATTGGTCGTTCGCGTTCTCGCATTTTCGGGCTTCCGAGGCTCCAAGACGGTCCCACAGGCCCCAAAGATCGCCCCAAGACGACCCAAAAGGCACCCACGAGGGCCGCAAGACAGACCAAGAGGGCCCCAAGACGACCGAAGAGCCCCCAAGACGACCCAATAACTGCCCTACAGACCTCCACAGACCTCCAAAATCGCCCTAAGCACCCAACGAGGATCACCAGGCGGCCCACGCGGGCCCCAAAGAAAGCCTCCGAAGGCCAAGAGGCCTTTAAGAGGCCCCGAAGGGGTGTGGTCCTCAGGAGCCCCCAAGAAGCCCCCATGAAACATCCTGTTCATCCTCCCCCTCCTCCTCCTCCTCCTCCTCCTCCTCCTCCTCCTCCTCCTCTTCCTCATCCTCCTCCTCCTCCTCCTCCTCATCTCCCTCCTCCTCCTCCTCCTCCTCCTCCTCCTCTTCCTCCTCCTCCCTCCCTCCCTCCCTCCCCTCCCTCCCTCCCTCCCTCCCTCCATCCCTCCAGCCTTCCCTCAATCCTCCTCTTCCTCCACCTATTATGATTGTTAACAGTAGTAGCAATAGTGATAGCAGAAGCAGCAGCAGCAGTAGCAGCAGTAGCAGTAGCAGTAGCAGTAGCAGTAGCAGTAGCAGTAGCAGTAGCAGTAGCAGTAGCAGTAGCAGTAGCAGTAGCAGTAACAGTAGCAGTAGCAGTAGCAGTAGCAGTAGCAGTAGCAGTGCCACGTAGCAGTAGCAGTATGCAGTAGCAGTAGCAGTAGCGTAGCAGTAGCAGTAGCAGCCTCAGCAGTAGCAGTAGCAGTAGCAGTAGCAGTGGCCAGTTAGCAGTAGCAGTAGACAGTAGCAGTAGTAGCCAGTAGCACAGTGCTAGCGAGTAGGCAGTAGCAGTAGCAGTAGCAGTAGCAGGTTAGCAGTAGCTGTAGTCGTAGTAGTAGTAGTAGTAGTAGTAGTAGCAATGACAGTAGCAGTAGTAGCAGTAGTAGTAGTAGTAGTAGTAGTAGTCGTCGTTGAAGTAGTAGAAGTAGTAGTAGTAGTAGTAGTAGTAGTAGTAGTAGTAGTAGTAGTAGTAGTAGTAGTAGTACCAGTACCAGTAGCAGTAGCAGCAGTAGTAGTAGTAGTAGTAGTAGTAGTAGTAGTAGTAGTAGTGGTAGTAGTAGTAGTAGTAGTAGTAGTAGTAGTAGTAGTAGTTAGTGTAGTAGTAGTAGTAGGAGGAAGTAGAGTAGGAGTCAAGCTAGCCAGCTCGAGCGAGTCAAGCATGGCATGCCCAGTCCCACCCGCCCTCCCACAACTAAGAAGCAAAGCTGGCACAACTGGGGGCCGAAGTCACACCGGCCAGCCGGTTTGGTACAGCTGATGCGGCCGCGATGGCGGTTGCCGACGGGAACTGGCGAGCGCGTGTTGAATGCCGCGCACGCATTGCCAGACGAGTCGAGAATGGCCCGGTACACCGCAGGAAGCCAGAGGTGGCCGGAGGAAGCCCGACGGTCTGACAGGACACCCCAAAGCATTTTTGTGAAAAAGCATTGGGTTTTTGATGTTTTTATGTTGAAATGCTTGCAAACACACGGCGTTCGGTAGGATTCTGACATGAACGCGCGAGTGTGCTCTTTGTGGTATTTTTTGCACAGGATTCGCGGCCTGGGTGCATGACAGAGCATCGCGAGTGCACCGCGCGATGACGCGAAATCGCTGGATTTGACCGAATTTTTCAGATTCCTATGGTTTTCCTATGATTTCAGCAAGAGAGCCCGGGCGGGAAATTTGTACAATCTTTGTGAAAAAACATTGGGTTTTTGATGTTTTTATGTTGAAATGCTTGCAAACACAAGGTGTTCGGTAGGATTCTGACATGAACGCGCGCGTGTGCTCTTTGTGGTATTTTTTGCAATGGATTATCGCCGTGGACGACAGGACGTCCATGTCGAGAGGAAAAAATAAGAAAAATGTTGATTTTGTATTGTTTTTTTCCCAACCATCCTGTGGTGTTGGGTCCCTCGTTTTGAAAGACGGTGCCGCGTCCATCTCCTCTCTCATCTTCCCCCCTCCTCCCTCCTCCCCCTCCTTGCCTCTGCTCTCGCACCACCTCTCACGCGTTTCGTGGCCCCATAGGGAGCTCCACCGAAGGCCCCAGTGGGGGTGTCCACATGCGGTTCCCCCACCCAGGGCAGCGTTTCGTGGCCCCATAGGGAGCTCCACCGAAGGCCCCAGTGGGGGTGTTCGCATGCGGTTCCCCCACCCAGGGCAGCGTTTCGTAGCCCCATAGGGAGCTCCACCGAAGGCCCCAGTGGGGGTGTTCGCATGCGGTTCCCCCACCCAGGGCAGCGTTTCGTGGCCCCATAGGGAGCTCCACCGAAGGCCCCAGTGGGGGTGTCCACATGCGGTTCCCCCACCCAGGGCAGCGTTTCGTGGCCCCATAGGGAGCTCCACCGAAGGCCCCAGTGGGGGTGTCCACATGCTGTTCCCCCACCCAGGGCAGCGTTTCGTAGCCCCAGAGGGAGCTCCACCGAAGGCCCCAGTGGGGGTGTCCACATGCGGTTCCCCCACCCAGGGCAGCGTTTCGTAGCCCCAGAGGGAGCTCCACCGAAGGCCCCAGTGGGGGTGTCCACATGCGGTTCCCCCACCCAGGGCAGCGTTTCGTAGCCCCAGAGGGAGCTCCACCGAGGGCCCCAGTGGGGGTGTCCTCATGCGGTTCCCCCACCCAGGGCAGGCGTTCGTGTGGCCCATAGGGAGCTCCACCGAAGGCCCAGTGGGGGTGTTCGCATGCGGTTCCCCCACCCAGGGCAGCGTTTCGTGGCCCCATAGGGAGCTCCACCGAAGGCCCCAGTGGGGGTGTCCACATGCGGTTCCCCCACCCAGGGCAGCGTTTCGTGGCCCCATAGGGAGCTCCACCGAAGGCCCCAGTGGGGGTGTCCACATGCGGTTCCCCCACCCAGGGCAGCGTTTCGTGGCCCCATAGGGAGCTCCACCGAAGGCCCCAGTGGGGGTGTTCGCATGCGGTTCCCCCACCCAGGGCAGCGTTTCGTAGCCCCATAGGGAGCTCCACCGAAGGCCCCAGTGGGGGTGTTCGCATGCGGTTCCCCCACCCAGGGCAGCGTTTCGTGGCCCCATAGGGAGCTCCACCGAAGGCCCCAGTGGGGGTGTTCGCATGCGGTTCCCCCACCCAGGGCAGCGTTTCGTAGCCCCATAGGGAGCTCCACCGAAGGCCCCAGTGGGGGTGTTCGCATGCGGTTCCCCCACCCAGGGCAGCGTTTCGTGGCCCCATAGGGAGCTCCACCGAAGGCCCCAGTGGGGGTGTTCGCATGCGGTTCCCCCACCCAGGGCAGCGTTTCGTGGCCCCATAGGGAGCTCCACCGAAGGCCCCAGTGGGGGTGTTCGCATGCGGTTCCCCCACCCAGGGCAGCGTTTCGTGGCCCCATAGGGAGCTCCACCGAAGGCCCCAGTGGGGGTGTTCGCATGCGGTTCCCCCACCCAGGGCAGCGTTTCGTGGCCCCATAGGGAGCTCCACCGAAGGCCCCAGTGGGGGTGTTCGCATGCGGTTCCCCCACCCAGGGCAGCGTTTCGTGGCCCCATAGGGAGCTCCACCGAAGGCCCCAGTGGGGGTGTTCGCATGCGGTTCACCCAGGGCACCCATAGCTCCACCGGCCCCAGCGCATGCGGTTCGTTTCGGCCCCATAGGGAGCTCCACCGGAGGCCCCAGTGGCTGCCCTCGCATGCGGTTCCCCCACCCAGGGCAGCGCTTCGTGGCCCCATGGGGAGCTCCACCGAAAGCCCCCGTGGCGCAGTTCGCATGCGCTTCCCCCACCCAGGGCAGCGTTTCGTGGCACCATAGGGAGCTCCACCGAAGGCCCCAGTGGCGCAGTTCGCATGCGGTTCCCCCACCCAGGGCAGCGTTTCGTAGCCCCATAGGGAGCTCCACCGAAGGCCCGCCCCGGTGGCGCAGTCCGCATGCGGTTCCCCCTATCCAAGGCAGCGCTTCGTGGCCCCATATGGAGCCCCACCGAAAGCGGCACCCACAACGCGTTACCAACAATTGCTTATGGCTGGGTCTTTCGCCAGGATAATTTACAGGTTAGGATGGGACCCCCCGGATGCGGCCCCTAATGGCCGGCCTGAGGGGGGAGTAGGAGTATATTCTAATAAGGAATAAGGATAGGAGTAGGAGTAGCCGTAGCAGTAGTAGTAGTAGTAGTAGTAGCAGCAGTAGTAGTAGTAGTAGTAGTAATAGTAGTAGTAGTAATAGTAGGAGTAGTAGTAGTAGTAGTAGTAGTAGTAGTAGTAGTAGTGGTAGTAGTGGTAGTAGTGGTAGTAGTAGTAGTAGTAGTAGTAGTAGTAATAGTAGTAGTAGCAGCCGCAGCAGTAGTAGTAGCAGTACTTGCAGTAGCAGTAGTCGTAGTTGTTGTAGTAGTAGTAGTAGGAGTAGGAGTAGGAGTAGTAGTGGTAGTAGTAGCAGTAGTAGCAGTAGTAGTAGCAGCAGCAGTAGTAGTAGTAGTAGTCATAAAATAGTAAGGGTAAGGGTAGTCGTAATAGTCGTATAAGTAGTAGTAGTAGTAGTAGTAGTAGTAGTAGTAGTAGTAGTAGTAGTAGTAGTAGTAGTAGTAGTAGTAGTAGTGTAGTAGTTGTAGTTGTTGATGGCGGTGTTGTTGTTGTAGTTGTAGTTGTAGTTGTAGTTGTAGTTGTAGTTGTAATTGTAAGTGTAGTTGTAGTTGTAATTGTAGTTGTAGTTAGAATTGTACTTGCATGTGTAGTTGCAGCTGTAATATAGTAGTAGAAGGTAGTAGCAGCAGTATACTAATAATAATCTCTCTTATTCTTAGTAGTAATATGAATCACAATAATGTTATTATCGGTATTCGTGTCAGTCTTACTCTTATCGTTCGTATCATTACTCATAGGAATGGTACATGTAATGTCAGTGGGAGTATGGCTCTGGGTATGCATTATTGGTTGCATTCATAAAATTCGCATATGTGGTGTGACTGGCACTCGCATTATTATCAAAAATACATGTATTACTGTGCTACTGACAGGTACTATGAATCATGTTGATATTGTCCGTCGCAATTTAGTTGGTAGTATTAGTCGTAGCAGTAATAGTATAGTCGTGGTAGTAGCAGTAGTAGCTGTAGTAGTAGTAGTAGTAGTCGTCGTAGTAGTAGTAGTAGTAGTGGTGGTGGTGGTAGGAGTAATAGTAGTGGTAGTAGTAGTAGTATTAGTAGTAGCCCTAGCAGCAGCAGCAGCAGCAGTAGTAGTAGTAGTTGTTGTTGTATGTGTAGTAGCTGTAGTAGTAGTAGTAGTAGTAGTAGTAGCAGTAATAGTGTTAGTATCATTCGTGGTCGTCTTAGTCTTGTTCGTCGTATGAGTCGCTGTCTTATCATTATGATTACTCGTATTCTTATTGTCCTTAGCACTGAAACAAGTCGTCGTATTATTAATATTTTAGTTTGCTGAGTAATACAAATACTAGCATCCGTATTCCGATCATTCAGTCTGATTACTAGTAGTGTTACGATTAGTAATACTAAAATCAGTGGTCGCGGTCGTATGTTTATTAGTATTGCTATCGTTACTAGTATTCGTAATATTAGAATTATGATTCCTCCTCTTCCTCCTCCTCATCCTCCTCATCCTCCCTCTGCCCTACGAGAATCCCGACCCGTGTGACAGGGGCCAACGCGGTCCATACGACAAGACATATGGGAAGGGTATACGCACAGGGAAAGGCAAAGGCCAAGGGGATGGGCTACAGCAAGGGCAGGGACAAATCAAAGCACGGTTGGAGTCTAGAGCCACCACCGCCCAAGGCACCCTCGGCCATGGCCGTGGCCCAGGCGGTCGTGGACTTCTGGAAGAGCACGGCGCCCAGCGACCACGCCAACCTGCGACAAGCGCGGCAGGCCCCAGAGGACTCTCGGCAGAAGTCCTTCCTGTCCCTGCCCGCGGAGGCCCAGGCGAAGCGCCTGCAGGTTGCCATCACCGAGGCGTGGGACAAGGTGAGCAGCATGAAAAGAGAGCTCATCCAGATCGAAGACGAGATCGACACCAGGTGCGAAACCTGCCAGCAGCGGGCGAATACCATCATCAGTTATAAGCTCGAAAAAACTCAGACGGAAATCCAGAAGCTGAAGCCCATCGAGGCCTCTCCCAAAACTGCCACCTTCCCAACCAAGTACCTCACCCCCTCACGTCTGCTTCCCTCCCTCCAGTCCTTCCCTTAGCCGCTGTTTAGCATATCGGGGGCCTCTTGGAAAGTTCTTGGGTAGCTTCTCTCCTTGTCCCTCTCCATCTTTCTCTGGCTCTCCCTCCACCTCCCCACGCATGGCTACCGTTCCCTCTTCTTCCCTTCCCCCCTCCTCCCCGTCCTCTTCATCTCCCTCTCCCTCTAGGGGCCAAGAAACGGCCTCCAGAGGCCCGAGGCTTGTTAAACATGGCCGCCGCGATTTCTGCGGTCACGCTGGATGCCCAAAATCTGGGTAAAAAACGCTCTCCAGGACCTATCCTGAAGTGAAATTTGATCAGTCGGGGATGGACAGGCCCCCCTTTAGTAAAACATGGTTTAGTGAAAACGACCTGAGGCCCAAACCTGGCGGGCGCAAGCCTGGAAAATAGCGGCCACGGCGCCATCTCGAGAACCGAAAACGGACAATTCACTAATCGACGTGTTACTGCTGGGGGTTCTGTCCACCCCCGAATCAGAAACTCGAGGCGGACCCAGCGAGTGCGACGAGAAGCCTCCCAGAGTCCGGAGGGCCACCCCCGAACACAGTGCCGCCCAAGCACAGAACCTCGAACCTCGAACTCCGTCCGTCGCCCCTGCCCCTCTCCCCGCCTGAGCCCCCGACCCTCTTTCCAGGTGCCGCTGTACGAGCGACCGTCTGGCCAGCTGAAGACTCCGTCCCCGTGCTTCAGGTCCTTGAAGGGGCCCAAGGACACACAAATAAATACACACACTAATGACCGGATCCCCCATATTTTCCTATATTTTCTGGGTTTTTGTCTTCCCCCCCACTTCCCATATTCTCCTATATTTTCCTGGGGGCCGACGATCAATTGTGTCTGTGTGTCTCTTCCCCTCCTGAGTCCTGCTCGTACTGCCCCTTGTACATCGAGCCGCTGGGCCACGTCATCCTGCCAGACCTGGAGAGGCAACGGGTGCCGCACGGACCGAGAGCACGAGCAAGCAGGCAACGGGCTCCAGAGGTGGAGGAGGATCGAGACTCAAGGCAAGGACCTTATAGAGGAAAGAGAACTATGCGCATACACCGATTCTGGCCAGGACCATCCTGAGCCCAGGATCGGTGCATACGCCCTCTTGCCTTGGCCAGGAAGGTATATGCACCGATCCTGGGTCAAGGATGGGCGTTGTCAGGGTCGGTGCATGTGCATAGTTCTCTTTCCTCTAACCTTATACCCATCGGTCGGAAGAAGTAGGTAGAAACATGAAGCAGGAAGGCGTTGAGAGTAGATTGGGTGTCCGCCCGCCCCCTAGAGAGGACGGAAAAGGTGAAGCCACTCGATCATTGAAGTAGGAAGGCGCCTAAAGCAGATTGGAACCTGGGAATCCCAAAAAAAACCTACCCACAACGACCGATGGGTTAACGTGTTCGATGTTTCTAGCGGGCGCCAGGGAGGAGGAGGAGGAGGAGGAGGAGGAGGAGGAGGAGGAGGAGGGCTCTGGGGACCTCCATGGGGCCTCTGGAGGGAACCTTCGGGCACCCCAGGAGGCCTGCAGAAGCCTCCTGGGGACCTCCACCATGGCGCTGCGCAGTCGCGGACGGCCGAGCCGCAGGGCTTGGAGAGCCACACCGACGCCCACTGAGGAGGAACTGGAACACACAAATAAATAGACACAAATAACCAGATTCCCAATATTTTCCCATATTTTCTGGGTTTCTGTCTTCCCCCCCACTTCCCATATTTTCCCATATTTTCTGCGGGATCGACGATTAATTGTGTCTGTGTGTTTTTTCTCCTCCTGAGCCACACACTCTTAGCTCCACCGGCGACGTGCCACGATCGCGGCGACCGTGGCGGGAGGCGCTACACTGGCGCCGAACCCACAGAGGCGCACACACTTTTCGGCGTCGCGGCCACGCACGCGGCGGGCGCGGCGTAGTAACACACACACACACACACACACACAAACACACACACACACACACACACACACACACACACACACACACACACACACACTTTTTGCGTCGACGGCTAGGCAGAGTGGCTGCGCTAGCGGAAAAGCATCGGAGGGGCAAACGAACGCGAATTAAGCCAAGCCGCGATGCACGAGAGGGTAGAGGAGGAGGCGCCTGGCGGTGGCGGGATGAGACGGAAGCCGGGCCCGCTCAGAACGGGGCCAGCGGCAGCGGGGCGGCGGCTGGGGGGGTAGCCGGCATGGCAGGCTGCCAGGCAGCAGGCCGTGCAGGGGGAGACAGTGCCCAGCAACGGCTGGAGGTGAAGGTGAGCGCGCAGCGCCAGGGGCCATCAGGTGCCGAGGTAACGCGAGCCACGAGGGCACCCAGGCCGGCGGCGACCTGAAAACCAGGCAAGGCAGAAGGCGAGCGGGGCAGGGCGCGGGCGGCGGAGCCAACACCGGCCCCAGAGAACGGCTCAGCCTAGGGCAGGGGCCGCAAGGGCGGGACAGCCCGAGGCAGCACGAACTGCAGAAGAGCCAACGCACCGAGGGAGCCGAGATCACACGTGACCAACGTGGCGGTCGGTGGCGGCTGAAGCAGGCACCCCCGGACAAGGGTGGCCTGGGCAATGCAGGGCGGGGAGGCGCGGCAGCGGCAACACGCGAAGGCCACGACGCACCCAGGCGCGTAGAGATGGCGAAGGGCCGCGGAGGCCGGCAGGAAGCAGCGAGAGGGGGGGGCACCGAACAGGGGGACACACACACACACACAAACAAAAACGTCTCGGGGAGGAGGCGGCAGAATTGCCCTTCAGAGCGGATGACCCCTTCATGTGGCCGTCGCTCCACTGTCCCACGTACTTCCTGGAGAAAGCAAAAGGTACCGACACCGGTACTTCTCCCGGGGTGCGCTCGGACCAGCACTTCTAGGCCAATTCAGTGGTGGCGACGGGGGACTCCCAGGAGACCCAAAAAGGCGAAAACGAGGAAGGGCAGCAGTATGGGTACCTTTTCCTCCTCTGGCGTCCTTCCGTCCGCGAACTCGTAGGTGCCCTGTCCGTCCATCTTGTCCTCCTTGAACTGCCCCTGGTACGTCACGCCTGCGGCGTGCGCCCCGGGGGGTCACGCGACGGAGCTCTGGGCCTGCCCTGCCCATCGAGCGGGGGCTCGACCACAGAGTTGATGTGCCCCAGAACTGCCTGTTCCGTCCACTGGACGAAACGTACACACAATGCCCCGGGCATCGACGGAGCAGTCTAAATATGTCTCGTAGGTTCAAGTGGGACATAAACCGAGCCCCAATCGATAGGTTCAATCGTAAACCGTCTAAATATGTCTAAATATGTCTCGTCGATAGGTCTAAGTATGTCTCGTAGGTTCAACAGTCTAAATATGCCTCGTAGCTTCAATCGTAAATCGATTCTGCAGTCGAGCCCCTACTCGAACCCCACGCGCCCGCTCCTGCCCCTGCCCCTGCCGCACGCCCCCGCGCCCCAACGCCTCCCCCTCCCTCCCTCGGACAAGCGCGCTCCACCGCTCGCAGAAGAGAACTGCAACAAACGGCCTGGATCCGCCATCCGCCGCGGGTCGGGAGCGGCCAAGAGGGGGGTGTCCAAGAGGGGGGGGGTGCAAATCATGACCGGCGGCATGTGCGCGGCCCAGCGGGGGGGCCAGGGACGTAATGAAATAAGAAGAGGCGCCATGAGATCTGGGGAGTATCATGGCCCACGCCATGAAATCCACCCCCCCCTAGTCATCACCCCCCTCTTTTCCGCTCCCGAGCGGGGGATCCACGATGCACTAGATCGCGGGCAGGATTGTGTGTGCGCCAGCGCCGCCCCCCCCCTCGGCGCTGTCCCCTGCCGCTGCCGGCAGCTCCGAGTGGCCCGGCGTCCTCTTCCCGCGTCGCGCCGGGGCTGCTCCTCCTCCTCCTCCTCCCGTGCATTGCGACCCTAAGTTGCATTCAGCGTGTCCCCTGTTGCCTATCCGCCGGAGCAGTCGACCTCTGCCCAGCCGCCGACGCAAAAAGTGTATATATATATGTGTGTATGTATATGCATGTGTGTATGTGTGTATGTGTGTATGTGTGTATGTGTGTATGTGTGCATGTGTATGTGTATGTGTATGTGTGTATGTGTATATGTGTATGTGTATATGTGTGTATGTGAATATGTGTATGTGTGTGTATGTGTATGTGCATGCGTATGTGTATGTGAATGTGTATGCGTATGTGTATGTGTATGTGTATGTGTATGTGTATGTGCACGTGTATGTGTATGTGTATGTGTACGTGTTTGTGTATGTGTCTGTGTGTGTCTGTGTGTGTCTGTGTGTGTCTGTGTGTGTCTGTGTGTGTCTGTGTTGCGTGTCTCTGTGTGTGTGTCTGTGTGTATGTGTGTATGTGTCTAAGTGTGTATATGTGTATGTGTATGTGTATGTGTGCATGTGTATGTGTATGTGTGGATGTCTGTATGTGTATGTGTGGATGTGTGTATGTGCGTGTATGCGTCTATGTGTGTATGTGTGTATGTGTATGTATGTATGCGTGCATGGGTGTATGTGTGTATGTGTGTATGTGTGTATGTGTATGTGTGTATGTGTGTATGTGTGTATGTGTGTATGTGTATGTGTGTATGTGTATGTGTGTATGTGTATGTGTATGTATGTGCATGTGTGTATGTGTATGTGTGTATGTGTGTATGTGTGGATGTATGTATGTGTGTATGTGTATGTGTGCGTGAATGTGTGTGTATGTGTGTGAATGTGTGTGAATGTGTGTATGGTTTTATGTGTGTATGTGTATGTGTGTATGTGTATGTGTATGTTTGTGTGTATGTGTGCGTGTGTGTATGCGTGGGCGTGTGCGCGGGCGCGGGCGCGTGCGCGGGCGCATACGCCTGCACGTGCGCGTGCGCGTGCGCGTGTGCGTGTGCACGTGCGTGTGCGTGTGCGTGTGCGTGTGCGTGTGCGTGTGCGTGTGCGTGTGCGTGTGCGTGTGCGTGTGCGTGTGCGTGTGCGTGTGCGTGTGCGTGTGCGCGTGTGCGTGTGTGGTGTGTGTGTGTGTGTGCGCGTGTGTGTGTGTGTGTCTGCGTGGGTGGGTGGTGCGTGCGTGCGTGCGTGCGTGCGCGCGTGCGTGCGTGCGCGCGTGCGTGCGTGCGCGCGTGCGTGCGTGTGTGCGTGCGTGTGTGTGTGTGTCTGTGTGTGTGCGTGCGTGCGTGCGTGCGTGCGCGTGCGTGCGTGCGTGCGCGCGCACGTGTGTGTGTGTGTGTGTGCGTGCGTGCGTGCGTGTGTGTGTGTGTGGCAGCAAGTTCTGCGCGAGCTCAGTCAGCTCTACGACCACGCCCACATATGCACAGAGCGGCCCGATTCAATCGACCGAGTCTTGAGGCCCAGGGCTTCACGTTCCGCGCATCGTCCTCCCTCCCACCTCCTCCCTCCTCGCTCCCGGTGCTTTCGGTTCCTTGCTGTCCTGGGGCCGACCCTCCTCTGTCTCTTTTCCCGCGTTTCTTTTGGTGAGCGTCTTTTTACTCGGCGTTTCGACATTGGGCGGAAGGAGGGGGCAGGGGCGGGGGGGTCTTGGCTCCGGACATCTGCTCAGTGCGACTGTTTGAGGCAGCGGGTCCTACTTATATCATGAGGGGAGACTCCACCTGCTCGAAAACAGGCGTCAAAAACAGCCAAGATCTGCTCCAGGAGGGGGGGGGGGGGGGAGGGGGGCGATGGCCCACGCCGATCAGCAAACCAACGAGCAAGAAAACGACGACGTGTCCCCGCTCGGGGCTCGCGCGAGGTGCCCGAGCGCCGCTTCGTCGGCTGGAGCGTGGCCCACGATCGGCCGTCCGCCACCAGCCTCCCTCCTCACGCGCACAGGCCTCCGGCGTCGCCGCAGACTCGCCAGACGTGCGCCTTCAGCTGCCTCGATCGTTCTCCCTGGGGTTAAGACGGGCCTGTCCCCCTACAGAGGGATTTTCGACGAAAAATAAAAAAATACCCCAAAAATAATCAAAGAATGGTCCAAAAATAGTCTGGGGACTATTTATTGAGTCTTTTTGGCCTTTTTGGAATATTTTTGGAGCATCTTCACCTTTCGTCGAAAATCCCCCTGTAGGAGGATGCGCCCGACATAACCCTGGGGCCAGATCTTCGTCGCAGGTCATCTCCTGATGGCCACGCGGCACGACAGCGACCCAAGAGCTTTTGGAACGGGGGAGAAGCGCATGTCGCGAGTCCCGGAGGAGGAGGAGGAGGAGGAGAAGGGGGAGGAGGAGGAGAAGGAGGAGGAGGAGGAGGAGGAGGAGGAGGAGGAGGAGGAGGAGAGGGGCAGGTCAAGGGGCCGCCGCCTCCTCCTGACCCTCTCGTCACCCTCGCGGCCGCCGGGCGCCTAGGCCCGAGGTGTAGGTCCCGGCGCCGTGCTTGCAGCCGAAGGCGAACTGCCCCTCGTACCTGGCGCTGTCGGAATACTGCTCCACCCCGTAGCCCGACTTCATGTCCAGCTTCCACTCGCCCTCGTAGGTGATGCCGTCCTGGAGGAGGCCAGAGGATCGGATCGGATCGGTACTGCACGAGAGATGAATCACGCCCTTGTCTCAGGTTGGGTATGTCCTCCTGCAGGCGGATGTTGGACGAAAAATAAAACATTGTCAAAAAAGAATCAAAAATAGTTAAAATAGTCCAAGTATCGTCTCCATATCATTTTGCTACTACCTCAGAACATTCCTCCTGTAGAGGGGCATGCCCGACTCAACCCTTGTCGGCGGGCGATTGCCGCACGCGTACGGGCGCGCCAGGTCGGGTGACGGAGGGGGAGGGAGGAGGAGGGAGGAGGAGGAGGAGGGGAGGAGGAGGAGGAGGGAGGAGGGCGGAGGAGGAGGAGGAGGAGGAAGAAGTTGTGATGTGTGTTTGCCGTCTTTGGCCCTTCTGGGGTGTCCCCGTTGCCGCGGCTGGGCCCGACTCGGCATCCAGCGGCCCCCTCTTTATCCTTCCTCCTCCTCCTCCTCCGCCTCCTCCTCCTCCTCCTCCTCCTCCTCCTCCTCCTCCTCCTCCTCCTCCTCCTCCTCCTCCTGCTCCTCCCTCCTCCTCCCTCCTCCTCTTCCTATCCTCAGTTGAAGGAGGTTTTGTGGAACTCACGCCATCCTAACCCCCCGTGCGCGCGAGGAGGCCAGTCCCCACCGCGCTCCCAGGGACCCCTCCTGGCGCGTGCGCACGGGGCGCGACGGGCGTGTTCCAGCAGGGCTCTCGCAAAGTCGACCCCTGGCGCGCGAACAGCTCAGGCCCCGCCGCGCCCCCGGGGGACCACTTCTGGGGCGCGCGCCGGGGCGCGCTGGGCGGCGTGGCCCATAGGGGGGCCACATGCGAACCCTAACCCAGATTTCCTAATAAAAGGGAGGGGGTCCCAGCCCTCCCAGACGAGAAGTTTTAGAGCCCCCCAGACCATCCATGAAAGGGCGGCCCTTCGCCCAGACCCCCCCCAACCCTCCAAGACAGCCCAAATCAGACCCCCCCCCAAATGTGACCCCCCCGCCTTTTTTATGGGATACGGAGTACCCCTACCCCCCGCGATTTCTGAGAGGGGGGGGGGGTCACTCTTCGCTCGGGAGCTCCCGCACGAGGCGAACCCCACCCTCCCCCTCAGAAATCGTGGAGGGGAGGGGGTAGGGTCCGCACGTGGCCCCCTGTCCCGGCGCTCTCGCTCGAGGCGTCCTCGCAGCGTCGACCCTGGGCGCGCGAGGAGGTCGCCCCGGCCCCCGCCCTGGCCTCAGGTCGGGCGTGTCCCCCTACAGCGAAGGGGTCCACGGACACACAAAAAATACACACAAATAAAAATATTCCCCATATTTCCCAACCCTTCTGCGTTGGGTTCTCGTTTTGAATAGAGCACTGCTCGCGCGTCTCCTTCCCACCCCCTCCCGTCCTTCTCTTCCCCCCCGCCTTCGCTCGTCGCTGCGTGCCAGCTGGGGGGCCCAGCACAGTGGGTAGTCACCGCGGATTCAAATTAGACCTCGCCATCCCGTGGGGGCTGCGATCTGTGAAACTGTCGCCACTTTCGAAGCCTGCTGGGGGGCCCAGCACAGTGGGCTTCCCGCGCGTCTTTCTCCTGCTCTTCGTTACCGACTCCCCATGTCCTCTTGGAGCCTGTAGTTGTCGCCCCTCGTTCTTGTATGGTTCTCCTGCGCATCATGACATAGGCGCGTGTCCCAAGTAGCTTACATATCAAACAACGGATCCTGCAAGTTGATTGTCCATGCAAGTTTCGGCCAACTCCTCGTTTCCCATGATACAAATGGGTTGGGTACGTCACAGGGACATTTCTTATATTTTCTGGGTTTCTGTCTTCCCCCCCACTTCCCATACTTTCCCATATTTTCTGGGGTATCGAGGATTAATTGTGTGCGTTTCTTTTCCTCCTGATACAGGCGGGTTTTGGACGGAAAGTTCGCCGGCCCAACGGGCCAAAGGCGTGCTAAGATCTCCGGTAACTGCTTTACGGTATTTCTGCTTCGCGCGCGGGGGGCGGCCCCTGGAGGGTCCCCGGAGGAAAAGTACCCCGGCAGGGTCGGGTCAGAGATGGTTTGCCGTCTGGGCGCCGCCCTCGAGACCCTCCAGAGAGCCCCAAGAAGGGTCAGGAGGCCTCCAAGAGGCCCCCAAGATGATACAAGAGGGCTCGAAGATGCCACAAGATCGCTCCAAGACGCCCAAGATGGCCCCCAGACGCCCCAAGAGGCCTCCAAGAGCACTCTCAAGAGGGCCCCAAGATGCAAAAACAAATGTATCTCCTTAGGTTTTGGAAAGATTTTGGTGCGTCCACCTTTTCGGCTTACCGGCGCCCCAAGACGGCCCAAGAGGCCCCCAAGATCGCCCCAAAAGGGCCCAAGAGGCCCCCAAGAGGGCCCCAAGACGGCCGAAGAGGGCTCCAAGACGGCCCAAGACGCCTCCAAGACGGCCCAAGAGGGCCCCTAGAGCGCCCCAAGAGAGGCCCCAGAGGGGGAGCACGAAAAAACACTTCGAGCCCTCGGTCCTGAGAGGCCTCCAGGAAGCCCCAAGAGGCCCCTAAGAGGCCCCAGCAGCCCCCAAGAGGCCTTTTGGAGCCGTCTCCCCTTCCAGGGGGTCCCGAGCTTTCTTCATAGTGTGTCCTGTTCTTCCTCTCGATGTCCTCCTTGACTTTTTCCTCTTTCTCTCTCTCTCTCTCTCTCTCTCTCTCTCTCTCTTTCTCTCTCTCTCCCTGTCAATCTCATTTCTCCTATTACAATATAGATTCATGTGATTTTTATGTTGAGAGATTCCTCTCTCTCTCTCTCTCTCTCTCTCTCTCTCTCTCTCTCTCTCTCTCTCTCTCTCTCTCTCTCTCTCTCTCTCTCTCTCTCTCTCTCTCTCTTTCTCTCTCTCTCTCTATATATATATATATATATATATATCTTTCTCTCTCTCTCTCTCTCTCTCTCTCTCTCTCTCTCTCTCTCTCACTCTTTATCTTCATCTCTATATTCTTAACCGTCCCTACAAAGAGAAAAAGGCGGGGGGAAGTTGGAGCCCCTCTAAACCGAGTTTCGTTTTCAAGGATGTCCGTTAAAGGAAGCAGCTCGTAGAAGAGAACGGGAACATGAGGAGGGGGGACAAGACGAGAGGGGAAACAAGGGCGAGGGGAGAGTACGATACGATACGACTCAGCATCGGCGAACCGTTGAGGATGAAACCCCCGCTGGATGGCAATGCAATTGACTCTCTGTGCAAGAAAGAAGAGCCAGACAGAACGATGCAAGCGGAGACAGAGCACAGGCTGGGAAAAGGCGGACAAGACAGGGCAGGACGCACAGAGACTGAGGCACGGCAAGTGGCTAAATTCAACAGTGGGAAGCCTGAATTCAGAGACATGGCACTGGATGCACCGCGCTTCACGACTGCCTGTCCCTGCCACTCGGGGGGACCACAAAAGGTGAAAATGCACGCAGCAACAGAGGCCTCAGGATGGCTCACGACATGCACAAACAAGTAGGAAGCAGAAGAGACGGTGCGAGGGGGCCTTCTTTGTGCACGAGTCGCGCAGGCGGCCTGCGGGCATGCTGCAGCGCCTTCACGGAGGAGGAAGGCGACGAGCACGAACAGCCTCAGCACCTTAGAGAGATTTCAGTCTGGCCTGCAGCTTGCACACCGTCTCGCTGTCGCCGCTGACGACCGCGTCGAAGATGTCAAAGGTGAGGGAACGGCGGAGCTTCACTATCGTCGCCTTCCTGCGTGTGACCTGCTTCGCGGTCTCGACCTCAATCAGGTTGTCCTCGATATCACGAAGAAGTAGTCCATCACCAGCCTTGCGAAGTGCGGGATCTTCGACCGCAGCGCTCGCCCTTTCCCTCAGCGCCAGCGCGTGTCCACGGAGGATCGCGACCTGCTCCTGGTGATGCATGTCCTCCTCCGGCAAAGTCGATAAGACCGTGTCCGAAGCGGCGACGAGGTGCTCTCTCAGCACGAGCATCCGTGGAGACAGCTCGGGGTACTGACCAATGATGTCGGCGACTTTGCCGAAGTTCTTGGCTTCGGCCTGCTCCAGCAGCTCGTCCCAGGCGTTCGATGCGGCTGCCATCCTGGCTGGGTTGACGACCTTCGTGCCCTCGATGGTGGCGATCTCCAGGTCCGCGTTGGTGACGGCCGAGTCCACGATATCTGGTCCAGGTACTGCATCTTTCTGCACTGAAGCCGGGGGGAATCGCTCAGCTCGCGTATCATCTGTGCCAGGCTCGGTCACAGGCGCCTGATCTGACGTAGTAGTGGTCGGAGCGGCAGAAGGCGGGGTTGCTGCAGCAGCCTGGGCGGGCGCCGCCACCAGGTACGTACCCATGTCTGGAAACGGGTCCGTCAGGATCTCCTCGATCAGCTCCTCATGGTCCTCCCCGTTACGTTGTGACTTCTGTTCTTCGACTGGCGCGGCCTTCATCAAGTCGCCGTGGAACTCCCCGTGGAGGTTCTCGACCAGGCCGACGAGGGCGGCCGGGGTCGCGGCGATGACAGGCTCCGTGAAGTAGCGGTTCACCTCCGAGGACGGCAGACTGCAGGAGTTCTTCACCTCCACTTTGTCGGCGGCGGCAGCCATATTCTTGACGGCCTCCGTGACCGAGAGGGTGAAAGTTTGTTCTCTTCCTGTCCCGTCTTTTCTGGGACCAGCGCGTCCAGCACAAGCCTCGCCCGTGTAGACGATCGGATCTGTTGCTGGAGGACTGAGAGCTCCTGGCGCAGCAGTCCCAACTCGCTGTAGAGCTCCTTGATTGCTCGCCTGGCCATAGACACTCCTCCGTAGCCCAGCAGACAGAGGTGCCGACGCAAAGACCGAGACACGAGCAGCAAGAATCGCCAAAGTGTAAAGCGGTGATAGAGGCTGCGAGAGGTGGCGGAGCGAGCAGCCTGAAAAGGAAACTACTGGGTAGAAAGGTTACGGACGAGCCGCCTCACCGTTGCCTGCTCAGGCCAAAATGACTTGAGCCAAAATGGAGGGGAGAGTAGGGAGGAGGAGCAGGAGGAAAAGAAGGAGAGAGGA